TGCCCCCCCATCTCTCCCCCCATCTCCCTCTCCGTCCCCCTGCCTGTCCTCCCCCTCGATCTCCCTCCCCCTTCCCTTCCCCATCCTCATCCTCCTCCCCTCCCCGCCTCGCTCGTCCTCCTCTCCCCCTCCCCGTCCTCCCCATCCTCCTCCTCCTCCTCCCTGTCCTCCCCATTCTCCTCCTCCTCCCCTCCCCGGTTCTCCTCCATCCTCCTCCTGCCTCCTCCCTGTCGCTTTCCCATCTCCTCCTCCTCCCCTCCTCGGTCGCTCCTCCCCCTCCTCCTCTCCCCCTCCCCTCTCCTCCTCCCCTCCCTATCCTCCCATCTCCCTCCTTCCCCTCCCCCGTCCTCCTCCCCCCCTCCCCATCCGCCCCGTCCGCCTCCTCCTCCCCCCTCCCTGCGCTGCCCCCCCCCTCCCCCTCTCTCCTCCTCTGCCCGTCCTCCCTCGTGCCTCTTCCTCCGTCCGCCCTCCCGTGTCTCGCGCCCGCCCTGCTGCCGCCTCTCCCCGCATCCCCTCTTCTCTCTTTCCTCCTCTCCTGCTCCCTGTCCTGCCCCATGCCTCCTCGCCCCTCCCTCGTCCTCCCGCGTCCTCTTCTCCTCCCCCTCCCTATTCCTCGCCTCCCGCCCCTCCTCTGCCTCCCCTCCTCCGCCTCCCTCTCCTTCCTCGTCCTCTTCTCCGCTCTTGTTCTCCTTTGTCCTCCCCGCCGGCTCCTGTCCTCCTCCTCCACCCTGCCGCTCCTCCTCCACTCTTCCTCCCCCTGCTTCCTCTTCCGTCGTCGCCCTCTCACTCTTCCCGCTCCCCTCTTCTCTCAACCCTCGCGCCCCCCTCACCTTGCTCGGCCCGTGTCGTCGGTCCGTCTACGCTCCCCGCTCCCGGCCGCCCTCCCTCCCGCCTCCCTTTCCTCCCCTCTTCCTCCTCTCTCCCTCTTTTTGTTGCCTGTCCCTCCTTCCTCCATTCCCCCTTCCTCCTCCTTTCCTCCTCCCCCTCCTCTCCCTGCTCCCCCTTCCTCCCCCTCTTTCTCCCCTCTCGCCGCTCCCCCTTCTCCTCCCTCTCCCTCTCCTCTCCCTCTCCTCTCCTTTCTCTCCTCCCCGCTCCCTCTCTCCCCTCCGCCTCCTCCCTCTCCTCCCCTCCCGCCCTTCCCCCCTCCCCTCCCTTCTCTCCCCCTCTCCCTCCTCTCCTCTTTCTCTTCCTCCACCCTCCTCCTCCTCCCCCTCCTCCCTCCCCTCCTGCCTTCCTCTCCGCCATGCTGTCCCAACTCATAAGCAGCGCGCCCCCATCTCCCCCCCACCCCTGGGCCCCTGTCCCTGGCCCCCCCCACCCCCCTGCAGAGACCCCGCCTGGCTGTGGGTTTGGGGACAGTTGGTGACATCGGGGACATGCGGGTGATGTCTTGGTCGTCTGGTGGTCCCGTCGCCTGCCCGTGGGCGTCCCTGGCAGCCCCCAGGGACACCCCCAGCCCGGCCATGCCTCGGTTTCCCGGGCGGGTGCGGGCTTCACCGCGCGGGTGTCGCCTTGTCGCCGTGGCTGGGGTCGGGACCTCGCGTGAGCGGCCCCTGTCCCCGCAGCTCCTGTGGACCCGGCTGCCCCGGCGCCGGCGGTGCCTCGAGAGGTGGGTGGCCCAGGAGGGCTAGCCCGGTCCTGCGCCGACCTGGTGCTCAGCCCCGACCGCCGCTTCTCTACGCCATCACCGAGCGGGGTCAGGTGCGTCGGCCGGGGTCACTGGGGTGTGGGGGGGACCCGGGTGGCGGGGGAACTGGGGTGGTGGGGGTCACCGGTGGCGGGGCACTGGCGTCGGGTGGGACAGCTGGTGGTGGAGCAACTGGGTGGTGGGGGACCACCCGGGCGGACCCACTAAGTGGTGGGACACCGGCGGCGGGCCGACACTACGGTAGTGGGGCATGGGACACTAGGTGGTGGGGGACCACTGGGCGGCGACACTAGGGTGGTGGGGGACACTACGGTGGTGGGCGCGGTGACACTAGGTGGTGGGGGGACACTGTGGCTGTCGTCTCGGGTCGGACACTTAGTGGGTGGGGGGACACCGGGCTCGGCGGTGTGGGCACTGGTGGGTGGGTGGGGGGACCATAGGGTGGTGCGGGACACCGGGCCGGGGAACAGCTACGGTGTGGGGGGGACACTACGGGTGGTGTGGTCACCGGCGGCAGGGACACTGGTGGTGAGGGATGCGACCAGCTGGGTCGGGCGGTGGGTGGGGGGACACTAGTGGTGGACACAGGTGTGGGGTACGGGGCTGGGGGGGACAGCTGGTGGTGGGAGGACTACTGGGTGGTGGGGTCACTGGGGATCACCGGGTGGCGGGGTCACCAGGTGGCAGGGGGACAGTGGGTGGCGGGGGGCGTGTCACCGGGGGTAACTGGGTGGCAGGGTCACCGGGTGGCGGGGGTCACCGGGGATCACCGGGTGGCGGAGTCACCAGGTGTCAGGGGTCTCCAAGTGTCACCGGCTGGCGGGGCCATTGCACAAATGGGGCGGCCACCTCCCCGTCCCCCTCCCTGTATGTGACTTCCCGCCCCTCGTGAGTTTTTCAGACTCGGGGTGTCACTGAGGTTGGGCTTGGGGCTCCCCGGGTGACCTGGTGACCCGGTGACACCTGACCCCGTCCCCCGCCTCTGGGGCGAGGCCCAGGCCCCAAGTGGGTTCAGTGTCCCTCCCGCTCCCCGCCCTGCCCCCACGCCCAGGACCCCTGT